AATGGATTTTTCTCTTTTAATGCTAGTCAGCACGATTATAAACCAACAACAATGCATTAAAATAACAATATACAGTATAGGCCTATCAGGATGGCACAGAACGAACCTCATTTTTGTAATAACAAATAAAATTTACGGTATACAGTCGACCTCCTTCTTTACGTAGGATTTCACAAACCTACGTAGCATCTCGAAATTAAATGGTTTCTTATTGATATCTCTTCGTTGACATATTACTATTTGTATTTGTGATAGCATTTCTTTTTCTCCAACGCTTAATTATTGTCTTCCCTGTAAGAAAACGTCAAACAAAATGTGAATAGGCCTATGTAGATGTTTATGAGTACAGTACTCAGATAAACCATACGAAATGCTATCACAAATACAAATAGTAATATATCAACGAAGAGATATCAATAAGAAATCAATTTTATATATATATATATATATATATATATATATAATATAATATAATATAACAAAAGAATAGAGGAGACGAATACCATGTATAGACTTCAGAAATACTTTATTGGAGAAAACCAATATTTCGACCTATCCTCAGGTCTTTATTAAGGTACAACATACGGTAATATATATAGGCCTATATAAAGAATCGATCTGTTATTCATCAAATACTCGTAAACGATACTTAGATAAAGATCAGTGTGTGTGTAGTAAAATTAATGATGTGAAAGCAAACAGATGACCAAACATTAAATATGGATGAATAGATAAAGGTATTTCAGTAATCAATAATATAGCTTCACTGTTACCTTGTATCTCCAAGACTCATTCCTACATACAAGTTGCTAGAGAACGCGGCAATATCGAGAACGAAGTTTATTTTTGGATATTGGCAAGTATAATATTATGTTATTATTATAACTATTATTTATAATAATTGTTATTATTATTATTATTACTATTATTTTACTATTATTATTACTTTTATTATAATTATTATTATTTTATTATTATTATAATCTTCATTAAACTATTATTATCATTATCATCATCTTTGTCGTCATTATTATAAAGTATACAAAAATGTTTATGAAATGCTAATTTAGTGTTGTTAACATAATATTGTTTACTTAAAAAAAAATATAAAATACAGGATACTACTTTAATAAATATAACCACATATATAGTGAAGGGGGTAGTGTGTGGGTAATGGGTGCAATGGGTGAGCGTACGCATTCCCACAAATTGGAAAGGTCTCATTTTTTTTAATAATCCGTAAATTATGGATTATCTGAGTACTGTACTCATAAACATCTACATAGGCCTATTCACATTTTGTTTGACGTTTTCTTACAGGGAAGACAATAATTAAGCGTTGGAGAAAAAGAAATGCTATCACAAATACAAATAGTAATATGTCAACGAAGAGATATCAATAAGAAACCATTTAATTTCGAGATGCTACGTAGGTTTGTGAAATCCTACGTAAAGAAGGAGGTCGACTGTATACCGTAAATTTTATTTGTTATTACAAAAATGAGGTTCGTTCTGTGCCATCCTGATAGGCCTATACTGTATATTGTTATTTTAATGCATTGTTGTTGGTTTATAATCGTGTTGACTAGCATTAAAAGAGAAACATCCATTCGGGAGCAATTGTTTAATTGGTTGAAATGGTATTCCATAATGCACTGTAGAATAGCGTTTTAAATTCAGCATTGTCAAGTTAAATACACGTAATACTATGGTTGCAAGCTCATTAGACTTTCTAGCAAAATAAACATAAAAACAACATACACAATCACAATGTTAGCTCTTTAATATCATTAATGTGTCATTTACTTTTTTTCCTGTTTAAGAAAGCAATTTGTATTTTTGTTTTCAAAGCCTACCATGTTTATGCATAGGCCTACTCTCAACAGCAAGACTTAATGCGTATACTGTATTCTGTGATGAAGACGTAAACCAGTGATCAATGATGAACGTGTGTTGTACTACTGGACCTACTTATTACGAACATATTTTGCCAATGTATGAAGACATCATCAGAATAATAATGTAATAGAGGTTTGTTGAGGTTATAAATCGTGAGTACCACTGCTGACAATTCCATTTACTTTTATCACCAAATTGGGGGTTGACCGCTTGTTTTGTATCGTCCTGTATCGTTTGTAATTTGTCATTGTAACGTTCAGCATCTTCTAAAATATTGTATTCTCAAAAATGTGTATGTTGTAAACGATATCGATAATCACATAACAGGATACCCAACAACAACTATTGAACCTACAACCGCTGCACCGACAACCACTGCACCGACAACCGATGCACCGACAACCGCTCCACCGACAACCGCTCCTCCGACAACCGCTCCTCCGACAACCGCTGCACCGACAACCGCTGCACCGACAACCGCTGCACCGACAACCGATGCACCGACAACCGATGCACCGACAACCGATGCACCGACAACCGATGTACCGACAACCGCTCCGCCGACAACCATGGGTAAGTTATTTAATTACATTATGTTGCATATTCTATATTGGATATGATCAATATTAATAAATACTGTTATGGCCGAGGTAGGGGCGCCGCAATGTACGGTCATAGTATCGGCGCTGGTTCGAACGGCACGCCGGCCTATAGTTATGCTGGTGGAGCAAGTTTTCTCGGATAATGGCTATAAGCCGTAGGCCCAGTGTAGGCCTACACAATTTGGCTCATGTGTACTTTAAAGAACCCAGTAGAAGGGGATAAGGAAATAACTGTACAAGCTAGTTCACACATTGAGCGCTTTCAGACTCCGGTATAAAGCTCATATAAATCCCATTGCTGTCGTCGCAGTAAACATCCCTATCGTCTTTATTCTCTTCATCACTACCACCAATTGATTGTCAATGTCATTATAATTGAAGCAAACACCATCGTCATTTCTGACGTCATCATTATTATCATCATCGATATTATTATAAACATAATTATCATTATCATGAATCATTATCACTATAATAATAATCATAATTATATTTATCATTGTCATTTACATGATAATCGCCATCATCATCATCTTCATAATCAGAATTATCGTCACCTCATCACAATCGATTCTGTCATTCGCCAATATTCACAAACGTCCTTGTAAGTACAAAGTTATTATCAATATATTGATAAATTAATTTACAGCTTCTACGACAGCGCAGCCGACCACAGAAGACCCGACGACTCTATCGATCACAACTGAGCCAGGTACGCAATAAAAAATAATTAGCTTTATCGGGTTTTTTTTTTCCAGATCAATATAACGCAATAATTACTTTAACTCGCACAAACTTTGTGGAATAATTTCATATTGCTAAAGTATGTATTGATCGACTAACTGTTTATATATTTCCAAGTTATTATGGATCGACAATTCTATTGGTATATTGTTATAAATATTGTGAGCTTGTTGACATATTGTTGTCATCACAACGTCATCACTATCATCATCACTGTTTATGAAGTTGAACACATCGAAACTTTTACGAATATTATTATTATTATTATTATTATTACCATTAGTCGGTATAAATGATCATTACTATTGACATCATTTTCACTCTCACTTTTATCATCATTACTTCCACTCTCAAATTCAAATCATTAAAATCAAATTTAATAAAATTATGATCACTTCAATTTTAACTCTATGCATGTTTTTAAAGGATCTTGTGTAGTCACAAGAATTGTTAAAAAAAAAAAAAAAACCAGTAGGCCTACGTACCTAAAATATAAAAACTGTATCATAGGCATAACATTACCAACAGTTAGGCCTAATTCACACGTATGCATTTTATAATCCTTTTATAATTACAATAAATTTTGTTTAAATGCAAATCAATTAATTCATTTATACTTTATTGTACATGGTGTAACAACAATGCCAAGAATTACCTAACGTGGCAACGGGGCGGGTGGCAACGGGTCCATGGTGGCAGCGTGCCGGTTGACAAAAGGCCGGATGGCAACGGGCCTAGTGTAGCAAAAGACGTGGCAATGGGCCTATGTTGGCTAAGGCCTGGTGGCAACAGGCCTAGCATGGCAAACAGGCAGGTGGCAAAGGGCTGGGTAGCAAAATGACTGGTGGAAACGGGTCCAGTGGCAAAGAGCTGGGTGGCAATGGGCCTAGACATATCATGATAAATTCATTCCTCAATGACGTAATTGTTTTAAGCTTGTTTTAATATCCGCCCCTCGTAGAACCATTGGTGTCTGGCTTTTTGGGACAACCAGCCAATAACCAAACCACCCGTTTCGACACACGTACCATGCTACATGAACATTTGCTTTGCTACACATTTAGCAAACGAGCTTACATGTACATTTTTCGGATAATATATCCTCCAATGTTAGAGAATATTAACTTTTGACATGTAAAACAACTTAAACGCTACTATGATCATTATTTTGTGGCATTCGCATACATTTTTATATATTTTTTTCAGAGGAAATAATTTACACAAAAATATACTGTCCGTTGAATGCTATGAACATGAGTGATATGAACGCTAGTAACTCCTCCAGTAACAGCACTTCCCCTGTCAGAATAAGTTGCACGTTAGAACCCTTCAGCCAGGTCGCTTTGCCACTACAAGACGGCCTCGGTGTAACCGATGATGGTATTGTAGATGATGCAGTAAAGATGGAAGGAGTCGTTGGTGATTCTGGAAGCTATTTGAGTTTGCCGTTCAATGGAGAGTGCGCTCTTGAACCTTACATGTGCGAGTCTGGCCTGACTGTCGGTCTGTTTTTGAAACTATCCGATGAAGATTTGGAACAGAATGGACCAAAATACATAATCAGCTCAGGTAAGCTCGAGCGTCTGTCTAAGAAGTTTCATGTGTTGATAGGCAGAAAGAGCATCTAATAGTCCTACTAATATGGCTCAAATCTAGCGATACTGAAACATATGTAAAAATACATCTACATTACTAAACTTCTGACAAAAAAGGAAATATAATGTACTACCGCATTTCAAAGCACCTTTTTTCATAGTGGCGTGGTGTGAATATTGACTGTTGTTATTTAATTATTTTTCTAGGTTACGGGAATGCTACTGGATTCGATATATATCGTAATTCAACGAGTGTTGTAATGCAGGTGAGAGACGGGAACTACTTGTGGACAGCAACAGTCAACAGTGCGCTTGACAATAGCGGATGGATACATGTTGCGTTTGTATGGAGCGAAGAAGAAGGCATCACGGTTAGTGGGGACGGAAATTACAAAATATATCACATGTTATCCAATATATATATATATATATATATATATATATATATCTGTCTTAGACTGATCCACAAGGATTTGACGGATTTATAACGACGATACATCTGGTTTTATCATCTATTAGCTCCTGTCTCTTATACACATCTAGATGTGTATAAGAGACAGGTCTAACAATGTGCTTAATTCAGTGTTACAGAAAGTCATGCAAAATTCAAGAATGGTGTTTCCATAATTTTGTTTTATTTCAGACGGTGACGATTGTCGTGGGGTCTTATGTCGAAACGGGAGATGCAAGGACAATGGAATACAGAGCTTCGTGTGTTTGTGTGATACCGGGTACATTGGAACTTACTGTGAAGAAAGTAAGTGATTCAAATATAGGTGCAATGTTGTCCTACCTGATGTGGAGATGTACTGAATATTCAGTACGTGTGAAAACAGTTGCGGAAAAAATCGCAAGTTGTTCTCCGGTGGGACTCCAACCCACGATCTCCAGATCACCAGCCTGGCATCATACCTTTAGACCACTGAGCTTGCGCCTGGTGACCAGGGTTTGAATTCGAGTCCAAGTAAGCAGCGGGTACTGCAATGTTGATAGTAATTGTAAACGCCGTGGTGGAATAGATAATAACTGGATTTGCGTCAGTTATTCCATCACAATAACAATTACTGATCAAAATATATTATTCACGTCAACCAAAACAATGAAATTGCTCTGATATCCTTCTGTGTATGTAGATACAATCGTCTTTTCATAGACCAGGAAGTTTCGGTTTTGAAACATGGACATTTGTATTAGTCTTAAGGGGCACACGACGTCCACATTGCAGCGCCATCGCTTGGTTCAAGCAATCTCCAATTTTGCAAAAGAGCAAACTTTTTGTCCACGCGTAAAGAGCAATGTGTTAATGGCCCATCTGAAAGACGAGGTAATAGACCTTTCCAGAGTGTCAATCAAACTTAACAACTGACTAATCAGAACAGCGCTAGGAATGCGCGCGCGTCTTACAAACACACGTGTTGTCCCACAAACGCACGTGTTCGTGTGTTCGCGTATGTTTTAACACTGCTGTCTTTGTGGGACCTAAGCAACAATATCCAAGGGGCGGAGCTTAGCGGAAAGGTCAATTAGACCTAAGTGTTTAACAACTTTAACCTAATATTTTACTTTTTCATTTAAAAACAAAAAAAAATTTAAAAAATTTAAAAAACACATTATTAAGCCTATTCATCATCAAGTGATCTGCCAATTGGCAAGTTGATTTCATAGCAACCACTCCCGCCACCTCTCCCGATCTAAAGCCGTTGTCTTAAGCCTAATATAGTACACAAATACAATTCATAAATTCTAAATGATTTCATATTTACACAATCATGCATACATAATTATTGAAATTTGCAGATGAAGACGATTGTGCAGTAAACCCTTGTATAAATGACGGTACGTGCAGAGATGGTGTTGGCGAATACATATGCGCGTGTGTATTCGGTTTCAGTGGAGATACTTGTGAAATAGGTCAGTATTTAATGATTGCAAATTCTGTCAGTAAATGACAGGTCTTATAACAGTATAGTTTTAATATCATCGGAAAGATAAAAATAAATTCCAATGAATTCGATAGTAATTAATATAGATATATAAAACATTGTATGAAATTGTAATCGCTTAATTGCTAAGCCTATACAACAACATTCTGTATCATTTGTTTCTTTAGACTTGACTCCGACTTTCAACTACAGTAACACTGCTGTTGTTATGCCAGAAGATCTATTGAGTAAGTTCAAGTTATGAATTTTCACGAGAAATCATATTAAAGAAAATTAATTACGTTTATATTTTACTATAAAACCGTAAACTATATTTCGATATATCGCAATAAATACATAAGTTTACCCTACGAATCATCAAACACTTGTCTAGACCACGTGGTCCTTAAAGTTTTAAACGATAATGAGGAGTGTCTGTTGGCATAAGCCTATCGTAACCGCCAAAATTCTGTCGCTTGAACGTCTACGGTATAGGATCATTTGCTGCCATTGGTGTCATGTTTAGCATTGTCAGTGTTAGCATATCGGTTCCAAGCTTTTAGTGACACTAATACTGATAATGAAGCTGAGATGACATTGATTGATGATGTGATGACGATGACGGTGATGAAAGATGCCGATGACGAAAGTGTATAACCATATTGAAGGTGACGGTGACGGTAACGATGATAATGATAATTAGAAAGTGTAGGAGAATTATATTAGTATCAATACTATTGTTATTATTATAAGTCTAATATTGTAAGCCAATTATTATTGTTGTTATTGTTTATATCATTATCCATTTGATTCCTAAACATCGACAGATTTGAATGATGACGTTTTGCAGAATCCAGCTTACGAAGTTGCTCATAGGTTCGAAACTATGTCAAGTACTTCGGGGAACGACATTACGGTCTTCGTCGACGCCATTGGCAGAGGTGGCGAAGGTACATACACGCGAATGACAGCAGAAACTTCCTGGATGAACGCGCTAACCGGAGGCGACGGAGAGTGCCTCAGCCGACCTGATCTATGCACTAACGGGTTTGCAGTATCGTTCTGGATCATGGTAGAAACCTCCGTAGACTTAGCATCACCGGCGATCATCTTCAACGCCGGAGCGAACAAAGGGATGGGAGCGTTCACAATACTGGAACTGACCGAAAATGCTGGGTTAATATTAACAGGTAGGCCTAGAAAATACAACCTTTATAAAATTAATGATCATTTTAAAATGGAAGTCCCAAGCTTTTTTAAAATACAATTGCTGAGACCACATTCTTTTTCTTCTCCAAGTTTTCCGTCAAGTGCTTGCCTGTATAGGTATTACCGAATTCATGTCTAAAATCTATTCAATGTATGTATAGGCCTATTATTGAAAGTTTATTGTGTGAGATGTGGAATTTGATTTAAATGAGGCATAAACTGTCATAACTACCACCGTTACCTTAATTTTAACTACTGTTAATAATTTTCTTAATTTCAGTTGGATACAGCGCTGGTACGACGATAGGCTCAACCGATAACCATGCCGTAGAACTCGGGCATTGGGTTAACATAGGCCTGACATGGTCTGAGGACGCAGGGTTAGCATTGTACATCAACGCACACAAGATTAGACTGTCTGTTAGACGGGCTGGTAGACCTGGTAACAGTAACTCGGGCAGGATGACGTTTGGAACGCTTTTCCAGCCCAATTTATACACTGCATATCCTGTGGCTATTAGTGATTTTGTGGTGTGGGACCGTTATCTTTATCCTTTTGAGCGGCACCGCTTCCTCGGTGTCACAGGTGAGCCTCCTAAATGCTTTAGGCACTAATTGGTATTCTCTAAATCGAAATTATTAAGGTTTTTAAAGATGTATTGTCCCCTGAAAACGACAACAATGACATTTTTATTCTGTGTTCAAGTTGATAATATTTATGTCACTTAAAAATGAGCAAGTTTATTTCAAAAATTAATTTGTATGATATTTTGGGGTAATTTTCATGGGACAATACATATTTCGATGTTGCGCACCCACTTTCATCTCTAGTGACAATGTGATCAATGCTTGTAAAACTCCATGGTACTCCAACCATTGATTATTGTGCGCAACTGCAATGACGTAATTTAAGTGTTCGATATTGAAAATAAAAGAGCGCGTATTAGAGTACTCCTAATACAAATATTATGGCTTATTAAGAAGGTAGGTCAGCTATATTTAATAGTATGAATCTACATATCTAATCTGCTATCATCGTGCAAAACATCTTTATTATGACGTAACGATAAGCACAATATTCTAATGTCATTTACCATCCATTATGAATATTTTATCGATAGCTACTGAGTGTTCATATCTAAGAGACGCCGTTTATTATTGGACAACTGATGCTTACATAATACGGGATTTGTCTTCTTTATCACTTTATCCGTCCAACTTGGTAAATACATCTCAACTAGTCCTACCTGGAGGCCAGAATGTGCAACTATCAGCAGGACGTGATCTTAAGGGTGAGGCGTCACATGTAAATGGGACCGAAAACCTTTGGTTTCTTTTAGGTAAGTCATCTCTTGTTTCTGTTAGAAAACCTATGGATAGTGTAGAATGATGATTTGAAAATAACTCGTAACAACAGGAGATGCAAGTCGGAGGGTGGTTAGAAATTTGTCAGATAGGCCCTATTTTGTCTCAAATGTGTGACAATGGTGACATAATTGAAACGTTGTTTTAACATTGTTTTTTCAAATTTCATGTTTCAGTGCTCATCAACTACCATATTTATTCGAATAAACGCCCCCGGGGCGTTAATTGTTGAGAAAGGTTTTTGAGGTGGCGTTTATTCGAGGGAGGCGTTTATTCATTTATTTATTGGATGTCAAATAATTTCACTGCATAATTACCGGCAAAACGTGTTACTGCGCGATCATACAAGAGGGGTGGCTCCAGCGGGAGATGTGTGGGGGGGTGCAGGGCCAGAGCCCCTGTCGGGGAGAGCTGCCCCCACCTCCCAAAGCACAATTCGTCGGGGAGAAAAAAAATTATATATATTTTCTACGTATTAGTAGACTCTAATATCGATTAAATAAGCCTTTGAAACCCATAAATTCTTAAAATTTTCGGAGGCTTCGCCCCCTGGACCCACTTTCGAAACCTTTTAACCGAATCTCGACCACGCCCACTTTGCTTTCGTCGGGCAAATCTGACCCCTTGTCGGGGGCATCGGGGACTTCGGCCTCTCGTCGGGCAAATTCTGGCGCCACCCCTGTCATACAAATTTACTTATCCCAACCAGGTTAGGAAAAATGTAATTCGACTGCACAAGGGTTTTTTAGGTGTCGTTTATTTGAGGGAGGCGTTTATTTATTTATTTATTGGTGTAAAGTGGAAACGATCTCAAATAAACGCCCAATAATTTCACTGCAAGTGTGGAACTACATGTACAACGCATAATTACCGGCAAAACGTGTTATTGTACTGCATGATCATACAAATTTACTGATCCCAACCAGGTTATAAAAATGTAACACTGCAGTAGAACATTAATAGAATGTGTAGAGAATGATGTTGTTTCCATGGAAATGTTTACAGTCTTTTAGGAGGCGAGGGCGTTTATTCGAGGAAAAAATAAACGCCCCGGGTCTTTATACAAAGGAGGACGTATATTCTGCATGAGACTCTAGAGGGGGAAATTATTTGAGGGAGCGTTTCATCAAAGCCATGTGTTTATTCGAATAAATACGGTAATTAAGTCGGTTAGTAGTACCGTAATTGTTATTGTCGTGATGGAATAGACAATAACTGGATTTGCGTCAGGAGAAACATGTACCGGTATAGGTGTAATTTTGCCCTACCTGACGTGGAAATGTACTGAATACACAGTACGTTTGAAAACAATTGCGAAAAAAATCGCAAGTTGTTCTCGGGTGGGACTCGAACCAACGATCTCCAGATCACTAGAATTCAACCCTGGCCATCAGGCGCAAGCTCGGTGGTCTAGAGGTATGATGCCAGGCTAGCGATCTGGAGATCGTGGGTTCGAGTACCACCCGAGAAAAACTTGCGATTTTTTTCGCAATTGTTTTCAAACATACTGTGTATTCAGTACATTTCCACGTCTGGTAGGGCAAAATTACACCTATATAAGTCGGTTAGCTTTGCAATTTTGTTTGAGTTTGTTGCGTCATTGCATCGTGTTATTACTATACAGGTTTTTACCGCGTGAGCCATTATTTTTTTCATCAGGTGATTTACCTGGTACATGCATAAGCGACCCATTCTTATGTCCGGATGGAGTAACCTTAGCGATCTGGGCGAAGATTTACCCAGTCCATGACAACCAAGCCCACTTCATCGTCAGTACTGGTGAACAGGCCACTAGAGGCATGTCATTGTACATGCGCGCTGGTGTTCTTGGGGCCTCTTTGATCGATGGCGATAGGAAATGGATAACAGAGATTGCTTTCACACCAAATCCAGGTATTATTATATCTTACATAGTGCTTCCAAGGTTTCGTTAAAATGCATATTCACATATAATCTCCGTAATATAAAAACTGCGATTAAATTTCTTTACTGACATTATTTACGATATCGTTTTTATTGGATAATAGCTATTAAATATCTATGATCAATGATAAATAATCGATCGTAAATAAATGTTCCTCTTAAATATGATTTTCAGACGATTGGCTTCATCTTGCAATATCTTGGAAGAAAGACTCGGGAATGGTTTTGTACAAAAATGGTGCTATTGTCTCATACGACGCAAAAGGACTCCGGAAGATACGTGAAGCTGATCTGGATACAAAAATCATTCTCGGGCGTAGAAATGATTTTCTGGACGCGTACTCTGCCATGGAATTCGAAGAATTGATATTCTGGGAGAAATATGTCGAAACATGGGAAGCAAGAGAAGTATTTGGCTTACCAGGTGATTTTCCAATTTTTGTGTGTGTCATATTTGTTTAGGATTACGAAAACAATATAGGCTAGATGTGTATAAGAGACAGACGCAAAAGGACTCCGGAAGATACGTGAAGCTGATCTGGATACAAAAATCATTCTCGGGCGTAGAAATGATTTTCTGGACGCGTACTCTGCCATGGAATTCGAAGAATTGATATTCTGGGAGAAATATGTCGAAACATGGGAAGGGCACAATACGACGACGCAGTGTATCGATGGACTGCAAAACAATTGATCACAAGCACCCTTGATATTCTAATCGAAAACTCTCTAGGCCAAGACGAATACATCGGACCAACGCCTAGCGTTAGGATGCTGCAGGATCCAACGGCCGTTGATCTAACTCAAGAAAATGCAGCTTTAAATTTAGGTAGGCCATTATATTGCACATTAATACATTTGATTAGATGTTTTTTTTCTGATGATGTACGCACTTATTTTACAAAAATAAAAATGTTTATTGACTTTTAAGGCCTAATTGGATGGTAGTGTGAATTTCCACTGGTGTGCTTATGAAGTAGGATATCTGTATGTTATTAATTACAAAAATGAGTTTAAAAAAAGGAATCTAGATTTATCGGACATTTTAATTCGTTCCGAACATGCAGGTTCGTTCTCATCTGGATGTTTCGTAGCACCACTGAATTGTGTCGAGGGTCTTAGCATCTCATTCTGGCTAAAGTTGTTGCATGGCTCCGTTGATGATCCGGTTGGCTATTTATTGAGGTAAGTTTAAGTTTGTTACTAGAGCCGAGACCTGAGGGCGCAAACTTATATCATAACTCATATCATAACCACTTAACATAATTGACTGAACGAATAAGAAAATAGTTGCATTAGAAAATATAGGACAACAAAAAAATCGTAGGCTTATCTAAAAGATATTCTTTATTGGTCCTCTTTCTAATTAGACATCGAAATTTCGGGCTGGTCCCTGGGCACCGACGGTAGCCGCAGTGCAGCGCCACCCGACAAAACTACAATATACAGACGGACACAAACATTGTCTGTAACTAGCCTAACTCCCAATATGAGGGTTATTCTAGAAAATTGAAAACAATTAGATATAGTTTTAAACGTGTTTCTATCTTTAGTGCTGGAAGAGGCGACGACAGTGGGATAGCAATTTACAAAGAGGGACACGATTTGGTATTTCTCGTTGAAGATGGAAGTGATTTATGGACGACTAAAACGAGTATTCAGGTAAACACACATTTAAGTCATTATTTAACAAAAAACTGAATTCAAATAAAGGCTATAGTTATAGTGTACTATAAAACCAACCTTGGTCTCTTTTGATATAACGCTTGTCCACACTGTAGAAGTTAATACAGGGGGTCCCGAGTCTCCCGGAAGTCGCACGTTCATTTTGAACCTTTGATGACTTGTTTTTATTAATACTATTACTTATAATTTAACGTTTATCAAAACTCTTTGTATATTTGATTTTATTATCGTGAGAAATGTTTTAAATGTTACTTTGCCTTTGTCTTTGGAAATCGGGAGGGCCTCCCGCAAGGATTTTCCGGAAAGCACAGCAAAATAACATTAAATAAGGGATTTCTTCGAGCTTGGAACCCCTGTTAATGAGTGTTTTACCATATATGGGCGTGATGTCATATTACAACCATGAACAGAAAATCTCATGAGATTTTAACATAAGACTGGAGAGTGGACTGAGCTTCTAATTAATACACACTGTTGCAGGGGCGGATTTTTGGAAAGTCAAAAAAAAAATAAAAAAGGTAAAGAAAGAAAAAGAAAAAAATTGATCTCAAAAAAGGCCGCAGGGGTTATTTTTTGGGCGTCTAGAACACAGAAATTTTGCGAGGGCATGCCCCGGCCCCCTAGGGTATTGTTATCTCGATCGGCCACACTTTAGGGCCCCCTTTCGTCCCCCATTTGGACATCTCTAGATCCTCCCCTGTGCTGTGCCTTTTTTACATCATCAGCATCATCATCATCATCAACTTCGTCGGCGTGTCGTCATCGTCATCATCATTTTCTCAGTTTTCAACTTTGTTTTCTCTTTTTCTTTTTACATATCTTTACATTCCAATATAGGCATATCTCTACTGCTCTCCTATCCTTCCATTTTCATTTTATTGCCTTTTATTGCCTTTTTCAAATTTACAAATGCATAAGTTCTTTCGTCCCTATTTAGGTTAATCCTACATATAAAGCTTGCAAATATTAGTCAGTCGTCTGTGTTCCTAGACTGACATCAACACATTTTTTTTAAATTACAATGCATAGGTTGTTCCTGACGATGAATGGTCAAATGTTGCATTCACATGGTCAGCCAATAACGGATTAACTGTTTATATAGATGGAAATCCACAGGCCCCAGCTAACGTCACCAGTGTTCATAAACCACTAGAAAGTGCCGCCAACGACCATCTGACAGTTGGACGTCCAAATGACGCTAAATCAGCAGATTATGGAAACTTCGTTATACACAATCTAGTTATCTGGGACAAGTACATGTACCCACGCAAGGCTAGTAGTGTGCTCACGACATTAACTGGTACGACAAATCACTCTTTGAAATATTATTGCTGTATGCCTACAATCGGCCATTTAATCAGTTAGGCCTCATGTACACATTTTTCACCAAAACGTTCAAATCGTGTTTTAAGACATCATACTTATTTTTTCTTACCAAATTCTACGACTATGAGACTTATTTTTTAGATGACAATCGAGATTTGTTACCTAATAATGTTGAATATATATATATATATACGTGTAAAATGCGTGCTGTTTATAAAAATTATTTTGTTCTTCACATTTTAAAATCGTAGATTCTCAGGTGGACTGCATACACAACGATAAGATCTGTTGGCCATTTGAGTCTCTTCTGAGCTTACGGTATCCATATAGTTTGAGTTCTACCGGTGCCTCGTATGTATTTGATAGAGACTACGGCGGACGTGCAGTGTACACCAATGGTAGGACTGGTTGGATCTCGCTCGGCAACTTCAGAAACGCATGTCCAAAGAAGCTTTCCAGCTGTGAGAATGGTTTCACGCTGAGCATGTGGCTACGTTTAGAGGATAATCCTCGAAATACCGGGGTCCTTGTGAGTCTTGGTGCTGAAATGCAAAGTAAGATTTATTACAAGGAGTTCAGCTGGGCATTGGTGGCCCCCATACTCACAGTTAACAATGTACCTTATTTCCATTCTGTCAAATTATAAATTGTGTAATCTAGAAAGGCAACCTCATTCTACTCGAAGTGAAAATATTATTCAATAACTGGAATTCATCACTGTCCTTGGATGAACAGATTTCCCTCTTTAAATACATCTTAAATGTTGATTTAACAATTTTTCCTGACTTTTTTGGTTTCTTGTGGTATTTGTGTGTTTTGTAGATGAAACCTTATTTCTTTTTTATTGCTGATTAGTCACCATTGTATTCATATACTTTTTAGATGAACAAGGAATTGCGCTGGTGAAGGATGAACTCGGTCTTGAAGCAACTGTAGCAGATGGAAGTCTCCTGTGGAGGAGTAGAATATACAATGGTAACTTTACTTACGGCTCGTGGATGTTTTTTGCAATGACGTGGTCAGCTGAAGCCGGAGTTTCGTTATTCATTGACGGAGCTGACCTCACACATGGCATTGTAAGTAAATATCCCTACTGCTCAAATATTGACTGTATTGCTAAACCGTATGTTATTATGATGCCTTAATTTCAATTAACATCGAACACAATTATTGTGATACTAATACCAATCGACCTACAGAAACAATATTATTTTTTCTTATTAGGATAATCGAACGGAATCTATTCGCTCTGGTCTGTCTTATAATGAATTATTCCTAGGACGAGGTGGCATGAATGATAACAAAATTAAAGCCTATTTCGATGACGTAGAACTCGAGTTCCCGAAGGCAACTGAAAAGTTACCAGATGAAGATGAATTAACTGGCATTGAAGGTAAGCAGAATTATGATACTGTTTCGGACTGAGACAGGACCACTAACTCTGTGAGAAAGCAAATTAATCAAAGGTGAGAAATGAGGGCTAGACAAACATCATGACAGACGAAAATGAGAACTAACCGACAAAAAAGACTGCAGAAATCATGTAAATTTTATTTGCACCTTTATAGTAAGACATTTCCAACTATTCGTCATTTTTTTTAGCTGTTGTTGCGTATGCTTCAGCTGATGAATATTTTGACCTTGCAACCAATGAAGACGTGATCTTAACCGATAGCGTAATCATTTCTGACCGTAATAACGATGCAAATAGTGCAGTAAATACTGGTGTAACAAATACATCAGTTGATCTGGGCTATATTGATGTTGGTAAGTTGTTTGTGTTTTATGATTATCCTAGACCATGTAACATAGTTTTTAAATCTTAGTTCCTGTATAAGATGTACTGAAGTCCTATAATACACATGCTTTTGTTGCATTCACTTTTCCGAAGGCCTACTGTAATAATAATAATAATAATAATAATAATAATAATAATAATAATAATAATAATAATAATGTAGTTTTTTTAGCGCACAAATCCATTTAATGTAATATGCTCAGGGCGTTTGAGATGTGGACTAATGAAATGTAACAAATCTATTAGAATTACCACATTTTCAAAAAACAATAATAATTAATTATTTATATTTTTCAAAGTGTAAGCATGGCAATATGCAACAAGATCTGACGATGATCTTATCTAGGCCCAACTGTGGAGCTTAGAAATTTTTTTTATCGGAATGTATGTCACGGCTGTCACTGTTCCTTGATCATAGAAAGATTTTTTCTCTCTCCTAGGTCGCTTTCGCAGGTCATGCGTGAGTGATCCATCGAAGTGCACACCCTCTGGAGTTACAATTTCAGTCTGGGTGAAGATGAACTCAATTGAACACTTTCAAGATAATAACACTAATCCCAGTGGATTAGGGTATTTCCTCAGGTAAGTCCCTATTTTTAAAATTAGCACTCTCGTGTGCCAGGCCATCATTCAAAAAGTACGTTCTTACTTCTTACTGTTTTGTTTCTTCTTATAGCTCCGGTGCTCAAGCTCAATATGGACGCGGGTTTGCTCTCACTTTTGATGGTCAAAATATTACGGCCACTATGCAGCACGCTGATTACATGATTACGTTTAATACATTGTTTGAGCCACCTACTGACTGGTTCAATTTAGCTCTTTCGTGGAGCGTGAACCAGGGCTTACGCATTTACATCAATGGAGTTATTTCTGGTAAGTTGGTTTTTAAGAGTGATTTGAATACGTTTCGTAGCTCAGATTACTCGTCCTCTATAAATTTATAGCCCGTGTTTAATAAACCGAACCCGATAAAGCTAACGCTTCGATGGTTCGAACATTTTATTTCTGCATCAAAAACCATGACTGAACTACATATAAAAAAAAACCGAAGTTTTAGATAATCTTGTGTCACACACACACATCATAACATAATTGTGTCTCCTGATAAGTCCAATGTGTGGACGAAAGCTAGAGAATAAACTCTATATTGTTAGTCTCAAAAGTGCTGCTGTCAATTACTTTAGGCCTACATTGTTCCGAAAAATAAGTAACAAGTAAGAAAAGCTACAGCCAATAATGTGCCAGCGGGTTCTAGATTGACCAGGAACAGTCTGTGCCATCTTTCACAATCAAAAAACGACGTCCTAGCACATTACTTTAAATCTTACTTAAATATTCGATAATTTGATGTATATTTCTCAACAATAATAGGTTCCTCAACGGAACGGATTACAACACCAGTAAAACAAGACTATGTCACGAATTTACATCTTGGCAAGAGGAACGACGAGGACGCTGACTATTTGGGCGCGTCGTTTGATGATTTTGCCATTTGGTTTACAACTTTCGAGCCAGACGACCCAGCACTCGCAGACGCTCTGCAGGGAGAAGAAGAAGAAATTGGAGTCGGTAAGAACTCAACTATAATAATTACATTTTTTTTAATTAAGTTCATAAAATGCTAACATTAAATTTGGCATCCGATATAATGTTATACTTACAGTACTTTTTCCTTCATACAGTCGTAACCGTCAACCATCCAGAATTGGATGCTTTGGCGCCGTTTTCTGGAAAGCCAGATTGTAAAATTTTACACGATGCTGACTGCGCACGCAGCATTCATGAGCTAAATGATGTTGTAAGTTAATTGTTTAAGAACTTTCTATTCATTTTATCTAATGCTTAATTAATATAATCACCAGCCTTCTGTTCAACCACAGATGACGAGTAGACTGGCATATTCGACTCTTTATGTAGGCACCTTTATTAGCCTATTAGAAACGTAGTCAAGAAGCCATGAAAAGAAATATGTATATATTAGCTATTTTACGAAGTGTTTTAAAATTTATTAATATGTATATTTCTAATTCAATCGAATATAACTATTTTCAGATCAGTTTATTCTTTATTGTAATTTACAATGTATTTTTACATTGCATAGAAAATTGTGACTTTTTTAGAATTGATTTAATTTTTTAATGATAGAGATGTATTTATCCTTGAAAAGGAATATGACATATACCTTCACAGCAAACATTTATCATCTAAGGTATGTTTTTGGACTTTCAGTTGTCAGATGAATCGATTATCAATGGAACTGTTCTAATTAGCGCTCGGAAACGTCTTCGGTACCTCGTTAACCCAAACAATGATGTACCCGAGAACGACCTAGAGTACGCCGTCGAAGTATTCAAGGCAATTACAACTGCGCCAGTAACTGAGAGGCTGAACAAAACAGAAGCGGAATCTGACCTGTTGGTAAGTAATGGGCTAAAGGAGGTTGGGCTATATATTATATTTACTTTTAATTGATGGCTGGATTTGTATACTTCGATATTTTTTTATAAAGAAGTCAATTGAAGTGGCAATACCAATCTTGCTATTATTAGACCGGCTTTACAAGATACAAGATAACATTTATTATCTTCAATAAAATACGAAGAAATTACAAAGCGTGCAAGGAAAAATTGACATGCATCGTTGTCACGATGATGGCCTTTTATAAAGTAATGCATCTTTCTGTTAAGCCCCGCGCCTTGGATAGACCTATGTTTGCGCGCTAAGATCCAACACAGCAACAATGGTTGAAAATGGCAATACATTTGAAGACAAAAAACAAACAAAACCATCATCTTGATCAAACCTAGAAGTTAAAAAACTTATCTCAATGTGACCAATTAAGACGTAAAAAACAGAACAAACAATAAGTAGGGAAAAAAACACACAAAAAAACGAGTGTTTGCGTGGTGGGGCAACCTATTCATAGCCTTGTTCTGATTGGTGAAGTTGAAGTTTGATTGACACTACGCAAAACAGTGGCAGATCCAGGAATTTGAAATAGACCGGGGCCCAGCGAAGGACTTTGATAGATGGAGGGTCTATATTACCTCAGCCCACCATGGTTCGGGCTGAGGTAAGAAAGGTTACGATTATGGCACCTCTAGATGGCCGGAAATGGCACTCTCAAATTTAAGATTTTAAATAATTTTCTTTTTACAATTTTGAAAAATGTAGTGGGAGGGGCGGGGGGCGTTGGCACGCATTGAATCCGCCACTCGAAAGGGGCACTGATTGTGGTAAAACAAGAGTCTTCCAGTGACGGTGTTACGAAAATTCTGGTGTGAAAATTCCTCTGGGTGGTGTATTGTTGCAATTTGCTACAATCTTTGCTCTCTGCAATTGTCACACTCTCGTGACTATCACACGGCTGTTAAATCATGCTATTTTCTATAGGCATTTTAGGATAAATATCTTAATTGGTTATCATTACCTTAAATTGTTTTTTTTTTTTTTTGTTATTATTCAATCATTCAACAAGTAATACAAGTAAAAGACTGTATTAATTTTTACTATTCATCTTTTTTAGGACTTGGTGCAAATTACAAGCAACATGATGCAACCGAACCGCTCCAACAATTGGAAAAGTGTTCACGAGGTGAGAACGCTTTTATTTCCACAACCATGGCCTCCTGATTTGTTTTTTTTTAACCATTTTAATCCCGTGTGTTTCTTATCACTTCTTCAATTCTGTATCATGTTCAGGTCTCTCTTGGTACACCTCAACTTGTGGACTCTCTTGACGAGTACGCAATTCAAATATCTCGTAGATTACGGGAGAGGGCCGGTCATGAGAAAATCGTCATCAGCGCAGAAAATATAGGTAATTATTATGTCTAAAGTTGTTTAAACTTATACGACTGTTTCTTTTACGACTGTAACTAACTACTCTCCTACTCGTCTAAGGTGGATGACTGACTGACTAAATGACTTGCTGACAGACTGACTTACTGACTTGCAGATCGACAAACTGACTGACCGTCCTATCCACCGATTAACAGACCCACCGACAGATCGATCAACCGGTTGGCTGGCTGGTTGATTGGTTGGCTGGCTGGCTACCTAACTGCCTGTCTATTTGACTGGCTAACTGGCTATGCTACTTAGCAGATTCATTGACTGACAGACCGACAAACCTGTTTATTGACTGAAATGATTTATTGATTTCATTGATTATTATATAATTTATTATATAATTATTTTTCTATTTAGTCATGCAAATTGATTCGTTTGACATGACTGAAATGTACGAACAATATACATTGCCGGATTATAATCAATCGAATTGGGACAGTGCGAAAACGGAATGGAATCAACCACAGGACCAATTTATTCTACCAAAAAACTTCTTCAAGTTTACGAAGCCAGGTAGGTTAGAACATATCAGAATTTAATGTGTCTTTATCCATTATTTAATTATTTTTAATAATATTTGTCTAAATGTTAAAATAAACAGTTCAAGAATAACAGGTATTTTGTTGCTTGTAACGACATTATTACATTTGAAAGTCATTAGGCTTGTTATGGTATATGTGATTATTATTTAATTATTATTATTATTAGGCATATTATAGTATGTTATTTTAATTTGAAATGTATACAATTTTTAGGCATAACGTCCTCCCTGGTAGTGACATTGTACAATACACTTCCTGACATGATTCCCGAAGAAGGAAATAAGGAGTAAGTAATACATTTATCAGACCTATTAATAATTGTTTATGTTTTGCTATTAATAAATTAAAAAAATCATCTATTTATTAATATATTAATATTATTCTTATTCTTCTTCTTCTTCTTCTTATTATTATTATTATTATTATTATTATTATTATTATTATTATTATTATTATTATTATTATTATTATTGTTGTTGTTGTTGTTGTTGTTTCGCAAACCTAACAATACAAACACATAATACAATTACATTTTACAACATCAAAGTTTAAGATATTATCTTAAACTTTGATGTTGTAAAATGTAATTGTATTAAGCAGTTTTAAGGATGATTGTATTTCAGTGGTAATTAAATATATTATAATATATTGTTACAAAGTATTATTATCAATGATAGTAATATTATTATTGTTACGTTTTTTGTGTGTTTTTTTTTTTTTGGCAGTGTGGAGGGATTAGAAGGAGGAACAGTAAAAGTAAATAGTCGTATTGCCTCGCTTACAGCAGACCCCCCTCTACGGATGGATCTCTACAACCCCATGAAGATCATCTTGTCACATATACAGGTTGGTGTACAAGATACAATACGATACGATACGATACAATGCAATTGGATGAATATACACATACATACCTTCTAAACCGTTTACTGTATTGTTAAATACAAATTTTACTATTATTCCGATGTCGAGAAATAATACGAATCGATATTTGCCCTATCAGTACCGTACGTTTCCAAAATGCTTGCGAAAAAAGTCTCGCAAGTAATTTGGGTGAAAATCGAATCCATGACCGCCAGATAACTAGCCTGGTGTCGCCCGAGCTTGCGCTTGGTGGCTAGTGATCAATCTGATCCACAAATAGCAGCGGGTACTGCAATCAAGGCAATTCACTGCCTTGATGTTTGCAGTACCCGCTGCAATGCTATTCTGATGGCTTTTTATCACGATCATGATAAGCAATTTTTTTATATTTAAATGTATTTATTATCTTTATTTCACTAAACTGTAGCTGTTATGAAAACTGTATTTCAATTCAATGTGAATGCTAATAAATTATTATTATTTCAGCGTTTTGAGAAATCTTCAACAGAAGAAACTGCATGCGCATTTTGGAATCACAGTGCACCGTAAGTATGAGGTCACTTTGCCATTATACGAATTCCATGGTTATAATTTCATTGGTTATTACGGCTTACGTGTCAATAATACTACTAACTAGTTGCGTAAGGCACATTTTATTACCGTACTATCATTAATGAAATAATATTTGATAAGTATTACAACAACACGAAGTTACTATACAATCCTACAGGTATGGTAGGCCTAATATTTGCAATACGTTATAATTTTAAATACAACCTGTGTATACAATGTAGGTGTATACTTTATATTATATTTTTTAGTGGAAGCGGATTGGCGCAGTGCAAATGGTTTGGTTTCCCAACCTCAAGGTTGGGGTTCCAATCCTTCGCTGTGCATTTCACTTGTGTCCTTGATCAAGGCACCTAAAGTACCCAGTACAATTGCTGGGAGTACCCTGTGATGGACCAGCGTCCTACCTTCAAACTACTTGGAACTGGGGATTAGCTCGGCAAGTGTTTACTTGCTTCTTCTTTACGTTGTTATAACGGCATTTTGGTTAAAGCATAGAGGGGGCTGCACCTCCGGGTTAAAACTGATGGTAGCCAATGTGTAATTCATTTTTTTTGTGTCCTGTTACCTTCTTTTTGTGTCCTGTTATCTTCTTTCACTCTTTGCTGGTCCAGTGTAGCACGTGACCAATGTGCTGCATCGCCCCTTTATGATTCCCTGTATGGTACATTGAATTTATATGTTACTATAGGAATACGACAAATGGTGCATGGGACACGCGTGGCTGCGAACTGTTCGAGACCAACGAGACCATGACAATATGTCATTGTTATCACATGACAAGCTTTGCAATCATCATTAAGCCAATTATCGAAGAGGTGAGAATACTCAATACTCAATTAATAGGGAGGACGCTTAATTTATGGTTAATGACGATGATATGAGACTGTTTACAGTGTTTGTTTTTCTTTGACGACATTACGAAATAGACAGTGTGTCGGCCAGGGCAGCTGAACAATACATAGTTTACTAGAACGCTTACAAGTCAGATGCCCCAAATAAAACAATTACTACAAGAAATAATTTTTTTCTAACCTTGGAAAAAAATCATTATTAAATTTTGATCATCCAATGTTTGCGCTAGCGATGTATGATGAGGCCAGAATATACTAAGACAATGTATTGTTTAAAATTATGATGACGACGACAATGATGACGATGAGGACGACGATGATTATGTTGATGATGGTGATGATAATGATGGTGGTGGTGATGTTGATAATGATGATGACGATTGTAGTAGTGGCGATAATGACTTAATGGTGGCGATGGCGTTACTTTAATAGGAGAAGGACTCGAACGAGGGAAGCCTGAATTGGATGACTAGGATACTGTCAATCTTTTCAATTGCCTTTCTTGGTGTGTTCCTCTTCTATCTTGCGGTTGTTAGGTAAGTTACAAAAGGAAGTATTTCCAATATATGTATATAACTACCAAAATACTTTACTTATATACTGTCTCTTATACACATCTAGATGTGTATAAGAGACAGCAATGTAGGTGTATACTTTATATTATATTTTTTAGTGGAAGCGGATTGGCGCAGTGCAAATGGTTTGGTTTCCCAACCTCAAGGTTGGGGTGTCTTACTAGGTGTTTTTTTTTTCTCTTTCAGGAGGCTGCGAGTTACCCTTCACAAGATTCATATTAACCTTTGTGTGGCTGTTATTTTCGCATGTTTTTCGCTGGCTTTGTCTGGGTTCATCAAAGAAGCGTGGGTAAGCCAGTGGCTAGGTATTATGGTTGTTGTGATCGAGGTGTTCTTGATTATGATTATGATGATGATGATGATGATGATGATAATGATTGACGAAGATAATGATGAATTTATGAATGAAGATAATAATGAATTTATATAATGAAGATAATGATGATGATGATGATGATGATGATGATGATAAAAATAATCAGCTTTAAATATTAATAAAATTGTTTGTTTCTGGTTCCAAGGGTGATTGTATGATATCCGGAGCCCTCATTCACTATTTCAACACTGTCATCATCTGCGTTATGTTCATTGAGGCTTTCCATCTATACTCCGATCTCTCCGATAGCCTAGAAATCCACGATGACGATGATGATGAGGACGAGCCGCCGTTCCGTGATCGAGTTAAGTACTATGTGCTCTTTGTCTGGGGTGAGTAAAGTACTGTTAAGTAATAATAGGACATTTAACTAGTCCTAATTAGGACATTGGCTGTATAATACTGATAGATTATGTTTTAAATCTTCTCAATTAGTGCCTACTTGAGTTTTGAATACGTAAAAAGTTGCATCGCAGGTCAGCTCCAGTTTGTAATAAAGTATTAGTAGCAATTATTGGATAGATTTTAACCTAATGTTTACATTTTGATTTCATCATCTGATAAGCCCAGTTTTTTTTTTTTTTTTTTTTTTTTTTTTACAGGAGCGCCATTCTTAAATGTCGGTACTACAATCGGTTTCTCGTCAGCAGCTTACATCGAACAAGAAGCTGGCTTGTAAGTAGGCTAGGCATACATAATTATTTTGGGTGGTGTTCTTTAAGTATACTAAATTACAGACGACACTCTATAAATTGCGTGAACACGTACGTAGGGCCCACTGTTGTGCGGGCGTAGAGAATGCTTTGAGAACGAAACCAAACGGGATGAACACATTGTTAATCCGCTCTGCCATCGACAGTCGGCAGACGGCGTCGCGTCGTCAAGCTATCCACAGATAGCGGAAATGGATACGTCGGACGGTGGTCGCGACCGCCGTACGATGCAGTGTGTACATTAAAAACGCGATGTTTATATTGCAGTAAAAGTACCACTCGTAGTTTGTAATGACGTATAGGCCTATACGTCTAATGTCCAACGTGCACGCAGTTTCACGAGTCGTAATGATGCTGAACACATGACACGTAATATCTTGTTTTAAAATTGTAATATAATTATATTTTAGTTGTTGGCTTGACGAGACGGACTTCTTATGGTGCTCTTTTGCTGGGCCGTTAGTTGCATTTGGACTGGTAAGTCAAATTTTATTTACTGTTTCTCATAGAACAAAATCGCTTCTCCAAGTTGAGAAGTTCGTAATAATACATGAAAACATCAAACCCAGTAAAGAGTGGAGAGCATGTGTATGATATCTCGTTTACCGAAGGAAATGTTATGATGCCTTTTCTTTCATATTGCAGAGTACATTGTACATGTTATATAGCATGTTAAGAGACATTGATGATCAAGTTTATAAAGAGGATAGAACAACAATATTTAGGTGAGTGGATCAGGAAACATCTTGCTGTTACAATCATTGTCAATCGGGGCTTAAAGTTAGGCAACTTGATGTAAGTCATGTCACAGATCTGTAATAAATTATTTCTCTTCCACGGCTATTGGTTATGTTTAGCTAGCTATAGGCATATATGTAGATCCCGGGGGGATGGGGATATATCCCCCCAATATTTGACAAGGGGATTGGTCCATTGTATCATCCCCCCAAATATTTTGACTATGTATGGGATAAAATGGAGCTTTACACACTTCAAAAGGCTATCACAGAACTAATTTGCAATGTCTTATGCGCTTACAAGGATGAAAATTAGCATAATGTAGTAATGTTGATAACAAAATTATTTTATCTGGTACAAATCTAAGCTCTTCTTTCCTTAGATGTTAGATGTGCTTGCAAAACAAGCCACATTTTCACACTGAAGTGTGTGTAGGACATCAGTAATTTTATGTCAATTCCAAGAATTTTCAATCATCCCCCCAATGAAAAATACTTTTCTACGCCACTGGCTATAGGCCTAGGCCTACTCTATATGTCACCTAATTTGTTGATCTTTCAGTTAGAATAAGTAGGACATTGATTTAGGGCCATCTGTAAGACCTGGTACACGGTCAGGTGTCTATGACTTCGGTTGTGGCTTCGAAATAGGGTCGTGACTGGGCATTAAGTTAGGACACTTTAGGATCGTTGAGAGACATCAATAATCAAGTTAGGATTGGTGAATATGGTTGCGTTATGTATAGGTTCGGTCAGGACGTGGTTAGAATTGGTTGTATGACTGGTTTACTGCTATGAGTAATAACCATGGGTCAGGGACGCGACCGATATTTAAGGTAAGCTGAGTTTCCATACAATCGCTACACAGTGGCTACGGCGTTTTCAATGCAATCCGTGTACTGCGGCTGCGTAGCTTGTCCCTGACGCAATCGGGAAACCTCCTTGATTCAACTGACCAATCATCGTCGCCAAAGAAATCGGCAAGCCCGTAGCCAGGGGGGTTCGTTGGGTTCGAACGAACCCCCCCTTTCCATGAAGTGCCCTTTTAACAAAGGCTGGCTAGCCTACACTTTAGGCCTAGCCTAGAGCCTATCATCATTAAAAGTCCTACTTTAATACCCGATTGTTAGGCCTACCTAGTAACATAAAAAATGTTATGCTATATAAATAAAAAATAAAGAATAAACCATACTGGATTCTTTGGAGTTTGTATCATGCTACTGTTGTTAAATTACCAATAATGTAGTACTAAAGTAGTAGTTTTTTTTTTTTTTTATCTTTTCCCAACTCAAAAAAATTACCTCTTGAATATATACACTTTTTTTAATGTATGGCCTCTCAAATCAATTAAATAACACCTGTAAATGCTTAGAATGCTGGACCCCCACCGAGGTTTTGGCCATGGACCCCCGGGGGCCCTTGGTGGTCCCCTGGTCCCAGCCAATGGTGCTCGCAAGTGCCCTTTCAGTATCAAAAAGAACCCCTCTACCAAAATCCTGGCTACGGGCTTGATCGGCGATAGCGTGCTAAATGAGTTTTAAGGTCGCAACTGGGATTTGGTGTTAAGACATCTAGTAGGATTGACAATGGTATTATGACTGGGTGAGTGGTATGAGAGGGTTGGGTAGTGATACTGTGTTTTCAAGTTATTACATCTGAATCAGAGCTATGAGAGTGTGTGGGTTAGGGTTGTGATTGTGGTTTTAGGTTAGTACAATTGGCTAGTGCTATAAGTAAGGACCATTGCCTAGAGGGACTGAGTCAACTTGGTAAAGGTTGGTGTAGCGTGTGTAGTACTATGAGCAGGACCATTAATGGGTTAGAATGTGTGTTATTGCTATAGTGGTTTAGGACCAGGGCTAGGGCTATTCATTTCTAATTTGTTAAATTAATTACTGGGCAAAATAAAATGCCTTATTTTCTTTTCTTAAACTGAAACCTCATGTAGGCCTAATATTTTATTTCATAGATCAAGTTATGTTGGGACGTGGATATTGCAGATATATTTTCTGATTGCGTGGGGTATTGGCTTAGTGGGGATCTATGGTCTTGGCGTCTGGGCCATATATTTGTTCGTGTTTACTATATCTCTTTTTGTAAGTAGACTTACTATCTTTCACTTTACAATCTTGCAGCATCTAGTTACAAACGGAGGAAGGCACTGCGTAACCGATTAGATGTTCAGGATACTTACATTTCAATTCAATGTAATACTTATTTGCTGCAAAAGCCATCATTGGGCTATTATCAGCTATACAAGAAACAATAACATTTACACTTACATGTACATTTGCAATAGCAAAACAAAAAACAATCTTTAATGAATGATAATAAAAATTTTGAAAATAGGCTCCAAGCGGGAGTGTGTGCCTATTGCCTTATATTTTATTATGTTTACTAAATTATCTGCACGGGGACTCGGTTTGAGAAGCTCGTGATCGTTTACTTCTGCACACAACGTTTTGTTTCAGACGTTCAGGTAAAACCAAAGAGTTGAACTCTCGGTCTCGGAGTTATGTCGTTGAAATTATTGTATCTCGAGTACTACCATGCTCTAGAGGGCGTCCTTCAAATGGCAGTAAAAGGCGTTCGTATCGAACGCGTGCTGGAGTCTATATTACGCATGTTCGAGTTTCGAAAGCAATTTTGTTGGTGTTCCGAACTCTATTCTTTATCTAATAGGGCACCCCTTACCTCGTGGTAGTAATACCAAACAAAGTAAATAGCAAAAAAATGAGCTGTTCGCGTATTTGCATTAAAATTAATGGAACGTCCGCCCTCCAGCTAGCGGGGTAAAATTTGATTATTTGACTAAGTGGAGAAACTACAGGAAACAATCGAACCTTTATTATTGATATATAGCGCCGCCTCGCGGACTGGGTAAAAATTGCTCTCCGTGTACCCACAATGCATTTCGAACGGATGTTCCACTATAATTGGGAAGCTGCTCTATCTTCTGCTATTTATTATCTTTGGTAATACCCATCATGCACCTCCACCGGATTTACTCGCTCTTACAGGGTTAACTGTCAGACGATAACATAGTCTCTTTTCCCCCAAGGGAGCAATAGTAAAAAACACAAAAAAACAACAGCAACAAAAAACAAGAGACTGATATTTTGAATTTACAATAAAAAATCAATGTTCAATTGTACTTTTTCAGGGTGTAGTCGTCTTCATCGTGCATGCAGTATTAAATACAGAGGTACGTTTAATAATGGTTTTTTTTTATTATTACAAATGTTTTCTTATTTTGTAGATGAGGCTTACAAAATATTAATATTTTGCAAATATCGTAATAAAAAAAAGTATATCAAGCCTACTAATGTCATTAAACAACTGTTGAATTGATACATATTATTGTTCCCCTCCAATTCGAGGATAGGCCTACTTGTTTCAAAGTACCAAATACAAAGTACCGTAACAATCTTCAACCGTTTAACACAAAACCAACCATTGCAGGCCGATCCTCGAAACTAACCCACATTTTCCGGTCTCGTTTTGAAGTATCGAACTGTACTATTAGGGGTTTTTTTTAAATTATTATTGTTGTTTTCCTTGTTTTGTTGTTGTTGATGAAGTTGATATTGATGTTGCCGTTGTTTATTGTTTTTGTTGTTCTTGTGTGTTTATGTTATGGTTATAGCTTATAATAATAACAATAATAATAATGATATTTATTATTATTAATATTATTATTATTATATTAGTATTGTTATTATTTCTATTATTATTACTATTGCATGTGTTGTTATTATTATCAATCTTATTTCATTTCTGTAGGTGCGATTATTATTATGCTGGAGGGATCCAGACAAAGAGCTGACAGCAATTGAGGAAATTAATTTGGTGAGTAGGATTAATAGCTTAGGCCTATGCATAACTTTTCCAATAATGAGAAAAAAATATTCTTTCTCTAAAGTATTTATTATACTGTCTTATCGTTATCATTTTCTCTTATATCTTTGGGAAGTATATATTTCATTTGTTGTGTAATATTATTTTCTGGTAATATTTGTAATTCGTATTTATTGTATTTTTGTTTTATTGTGTAGGTCTATTAGTGAATCCAATATATAAATATGTAAATGAGTTGAGTCCTCTCGGGTTAGAAGCAAGTTACCGTACTGTAAGTCGAGCTAGTTCACGCCTCAAGCGCTTTGAAACCGTTTCGATATAATGCGCTATATAAATAGAACTACATTATTTTACTTAGTCTTTCCAAACACTCCGATCAACTAAATATAAAATACAATTGGCTGCCATTTGATGTACTGGGTTTCCATGAACCTAATTGATAAGAACACACCGGTTGATATAACAGGTATTGTCGGTTATATTTAATTGAGAGGGAGAAAGCGGGGTTTTGTTTTGTTTTGTTTTTTTTTTTGGTTTATACTTTATATAACCAGGGAACAGTGAAATTAATTTCACTGTTAACTGATATAGTAGGTATAATGTATCGTCCTCCATCTTTAAAAGGATGAGTTGCTGCACAAATGTAATCGATAACAAAAGAAATGTCTTATGAGACTTTCAAATCAAGTTCACATTATAATTTATTTAACATAGCCTAATCACTCTACCAGATTCACATCATCATCATCAGGTGATCAAATTTTCATTGACAAAAAAAACAAACATATATGATGTGCTTATATATCGTCATGATGTGATGTCATCTTGACCATTTTAGGTGTCACATGTTTTTGTCAACAAATAAAATTAGATACTGTAGTCTGGGAAGGGCTTTAGATAGTATATTTTAACATGATAATAGCCCTTCACATTGTAGTATAATAATATACTTATTAACTTCTCTTATTATTCATTAAATAATCATAGAAACAGAGCTAGGAAACAAAAAAAACTATTAACACTTATAAATTTATTATTTACATCATATTGAAATTATTTGGAACACTACCAAACAAGGATGTTAAGTTTATTTTTTGTGGGTGTAGGCCTATTAGTTCGTAAAAATTCTATATATAATTTGTTGTATTTTTGTCTTGTCTATTCGTAATGATGAATAAAATAATTTGAATTTGAATATGAATATTGCTTACAAGATTAAACATAACAATATTAAAATGTAAGCATAATAACAATAATATATTTATATATGTATAGATATTTATCATGTGTATAAATATGTATTAATATTTATATATGTACAAATATATATCATATATATGAATGTATATGAATGTATAATCCCTGTCTCTTATACACATCTAGATGTGTATAAGAGACAGATTAAATACAGAGGTACGTTTAATTGTATAATAACGAAAAATATTATGTATAGATGTCTGTTGATTCCACGGGTTTGGTTTCCATAGTATCGCTACACAGTCGCTACAGCGTTTTTACTGCATTCCTTGCACTTATGTCCCGGGATCGCTCCCTGATTCAACTGACCAATCAGCGTCGCCAAAGAAGTCGGCGATAGCATGTAGCGATTTTATGGAAACCAGCCTTTATGCATCATGAAAAAACATTACCGTTTTATTGATAAATTTAATAGCATAATATTAATTAAAATGTTTAATCACAATTATTATCATATTTAGTATTGCCAAAATGTTATATATATTTTAAAAATAAGTATTATTGGTGTACTATAGTTTCTTGAACAATTGCAAAATAAGAGACCTAATTATTTTCGTTGCCCGTATATAAATATAATATAGGCCCTATTATCATTTTGCACACAATTCGATTTCAAACTGTTTAGGCTTGCGATATTCGTATTACTGTACTTTCAGTCCTATACTAAATATAATTGTTATTAAAATACAGGTGATTTTTAACGTCATATTTTCTTTGTATACTGTATATTCCGAAACTATCTTTATTTTTGTGAATAACAATTACATTTTTATTGAATATTTGTACTTTGCGTGGTTTACTTGTGTGTATTTCATGAAAATATTAGGAATTAAAAAAACTTTAAACAAAATTAAACTCAAAATTCATAATTTCATAATTATATTATTTCTCCCATAAAATTTTAGTATGTGGTGTATTAATAATAGTGTATCAAAAGTGATTCAAATTTATAGAATTCGCAGATATATTATTACTCAATACAGCCAACTATTAATTGCGTCCCAATTATTTATAATAGGCCTTAAACACTGTAGCATTCGATGTGCATTAGTGCACAACGAATTTAAGGTGCACGATTCGTAATGAATTTGATATCATGGTTTCTTTGATGTTGTGGATGAATGTTTTACATTCATACACAAATTCAATTCAATTTATTCAACAATACCCCTAGGCTGGGGAAGGTAAACATATATAAAATACAATAAAACTTCACAGAACAAATCAAAAGAAACAAACATCCATTATACAAAAACCAAAAGTGCGGAAATTTTAAGTGCTCTAGTTAAATTAATGATGGTATGAATATCGTTATTGTATATTATAATGTAATAGTTGTCGATTCTGAAAATATCCTTATGATGTACCCATTTCTAAATTGTATAATATTGCTAGAGATATAGCCGAAGAAGACAAAAATACTTTTTCAATAGTTGCCTATTTAATTAGAGATATCTCGACATTTCAGAATCGGTCTAATTATCCAGTTACAGTTTCATTATGCACTGCAAAGATATACTTCTACAATTTCCCAGTCGTGAAATTCGCTGACGGTACTACAGTGAATGGCCTTATTCAGAACAATGACGATCATAATTATCGCGCCAAAGTCCAACATAAATTGGTTTGTGTAATTACAACAATTTTAAACTAAATGTCACCAAAGCTACAGAAATAATCGTTGACTTTTGGAAGAATAAGAATGTAAAAGAACCGCTTATCACCCAATTCTATCTTTGAAATAGTTGCTTTAAAATGTTAGGTACATTCACTACAAACTGGGGAACGTTCATTAGTGTGCAAGAAAGGTCCAGGATTATCTGCGCAGATTGAGGTCGTTCGGTATTAGCCCCACGTGGTGTGCTAATTCTAGAGGTCAGTGACAGAACCATGTTGTGGCTGAAAACCAAATGTGCTTGAGAATAGTCTGTGTTTGAAGGTTGCCATTTTGTTAGACTGGGACACTGGTAAGGAATGCGGGTGTACGTACGTAAACAGTGACATGTGGTCGTGAGACAGCAAATGATCAAGTGAAATACGACAGTAAGATCTGAAATATGGAATGATATTGACTTCATGAGATTGAGACTTTGATGATCTATGTTGTTATAGTTTTTCAGACCGGTAGGTTTCGAATCCGAGACGTTTATTGAGGACCATTATTATTTTTACATAATGTCTACAGGCTTTGAAATAGGCTAAGCGTAATTATTAGATTATTGTTGTAATATAGAAATGTTGGATTAACTAAGCAACTATTAATTAACCTTCTCATTATTTCAAATTGACTGCAGTTTCCAGATTATTTGGCCTGTGATAAATATATAACAGAAAAAAAATGAAAAACTCAATCATCAATATATTAGTTTATTTCCTATTCATCTTACCATAGACAACATACATTTTTAATATTCGTCATTATATTCAATTCTTAAACATGTTGTGTTAGGACGAGTCGAGACATCCTTGATATTAGAATTAATGTAATTCAGCTTATGTAAAACGCAAGGTCGTCTTCTAAATTCGCCAGTTACACAAGTTACGGGAACGGAAATCCATAATAGTCGAATTAACGTTAACGTTTACATCCTGCAAAGGACTTAATGGTCCATAACTCGAAATCTTGAACATGAGCCAATTGTGTACACTGGGCTTACGCTTTAAAATCAGAGAAAACTTGTTCCACCACCAGAAACATAGGCGAGCGTGCTGTAGCTAGGCTGTGGCGCCCCTACCTGAACCGCTTGGCCATTCGAATAGCCAACCATTATGTTTGTAAATTGTCTTTTTAAAAAAACCAATACATATCAGGCCTAATTATCTGTCTACTGATACCTCTGCGTTTTACAAAAGCTGAATTAGATTTTTTTTTACACAAAAACAAAGCGTTCAGAATTCTCGTCAAATTTTAGCTTTACAATTTTACATGACAAGAGGAAATAAAATGATGTTTAAACAGATTTATGTCAACTTTAGAAAATTAATCAACTTAGGTCTGCTTCTAGTAGTAACGGCTTGGCACAGCGGGAACGGCTTGGTTTCCCAACCTCGAGGTAGGGGTTTGAATCCCTTGCTGTTGTGTCTTTGAGAAGGCACTTTATCTGCGTTGTTTTTCTCTACCTAGTAGTATAAATGGGTACCTGGTGGGGTGTCCTGCTACGGTGCCAATATGACAGCATTATTTAAGCATGTAGACCCAATGACCAGGGAAAATCTTGCAGAGCGCTTCATAACTGCAAAGAAAAGCGCTATACAACCAACAAGTAATACAGTCATATAAAAAATAACTTCTAATACCACGTGACAAAGTTAGACTTACAGTTTACGAGGGGTTTTATTAAGTACGTATCCAATCCCTTTTGAAATGAAAAGTGGTGTTGTTGAGAGCAGAAATAACTGGCCAAATGAAATCGCTAAGTAGGCCCTGTTGATATTATTACTAGAAAGACCCTCTACTGTACACATGTCAACGTGAATTCGTAAAATGTGATGTTTTAGAGGTCTAGCAAGTAGCCCCACGTCTATTAAGTCTAAGTAAGTAGCCTAATGAGAGACAGACCAACAATTGTCCTTGGATGAAGACGCCTCCAACTCTCTTACAAAAAGATGGAGTTATTATATAAGAGCCATTAATATCTTATCATCGGGCATCTCCACAGACCACTTTTATAATCAAACAATCCGTAATATGGTCCTAATTAAACGATATCGCACAGTTACAAGATCGATCAACTGATATCCATTGCCAGGAGTATGAACCATGAGGCCGGCCATTGATAATTTTGCGTGCATACGCCTTAGCCCATCCTTTTTTCTGTTTACAGGCTGACTGTACACCTTTCAAAGGAAAAAAAATAGTGAGATAGATATTTATTGGATAGTACTATTGTATAAGCGGCACACGTTAGACAACATCTACGTATCCACATTTCTACTCGTAGGTCGTAGTATAATGTTTATATATACCGTACTGTACAAACATACACATACGTATTAGCTCATTTGCGATGCAGTGATGATAATAACAATTGATATTTTTTATCAATATCAATAACAAATGATATTATAACGGTAATGATAAATAATACTAAACATGCTTAAAATGACTATGAAGCTACCAAGAAAAGTACGGTAGTAGTTAATGGACATGCACTAAACGCACGCCACGCTTAACTTACGTATAACACCTTTACAACTGGAATTGACGGACGCACAGCGACTCGTATAGATCCATGTATTTTCGTATAACGCCACTCTTTGGGATATTTCATTTATACCAGTTGTCACCAGTTCGTAGTCACTAGATTCTTTACAAGAGTCTCGTAAAAGTGATCTCTATAAGAAATAAGTAATAGTGATATCTATGTAGAAATTAAAAATCGTTTATTATGTAGGCCTATTAGGAACAACTACCTATCTAGGTATTTTAGCCGAAGCATACTGCCTTAGTGCCGATATTTATTGTATGGCCTTATGGTTGCGACTAGAATGTTAAATGCCTCTACAAGTATGTTATAACAATGCGTTTAGGATGATATTGAGACGTCCAAGAAGATGCATGTGCTGGTGAAATAATGTACATTTATTCTCTAAATACATTAGGAAGTGTGTGTACAGTTTTAAAACCAAAATCAAAAACAGTTGCAACAGCCTTATCAAATGCGTACAGTCTAAAAAGTTATGTGATTCTAGATCGTTCTTGAAGTGGAATCAGTTGCTATGTGTACCGCCACAGTAGTAGGATTATATTGCTGTTGTAGACACATGCTCTGTTACGGTATTAATTAATTAACTTGTTTATTTTTATATTAATTTATTTATATTGTCTGTAAGTATATAATTGCACGGTACTAGGCTTTATAATTGACATTTGTACCGTATATACGGTACATATAAGACGACCCGCGAACACATCCCCGAGTTTGAGAAAAATTTTGAATGATATTTGTGTGTCGGGATTCGTACTTTTGTTTATCTTTTTACGTTCTTGATACTGCATCTATCTGTAGTCAAATGAAAGGCTAATCTTCCAAATAATACATTAATTTTTAAAACGTTCAATCATATTTCCCCGTATTTAAAATTGCGTGCATTCATACTAACATTTACTAGCTTCATTTCAGTAGTAAATCCGCGTGTTAGGGACGATTCGCATATTAAAAAAGCATGATTTAACAATCTAAAATTCGTATGTCGTGGGTATAAAGACTACCCCATGTTTTTCGATCGAAATTTACTATTTTAGGCCTCGTCTTATACGCGAGTATACACGGTATTACTACTGTCTATGGAACTGATCCGATATAAACGGTGAATTGAATTGAATTGAATTAAATTGAATAACGGCGAAAATTATAAAACGTAAGATACATAATACGGTATAGTTATATAGCATTTGTATACTGTATAATATAAGCCTATGTATGCAATGAAGAGTGATAACTGTATTCTTACATGAAACAAAAAGATTCTATCGATTGTATATTTTATTTTTATTTTATGAAAATTGCTTATTTCAAAAATAATCGAATTGAGCCCATTGTTTTGTTTTGGTACCGTATTTTTACTGTAGCTCTGGTGAAAAGGAGACTATTCAACTCATCGATATAAATGAGTTGTTTGAAGCTAATTACCAAGTAATTGAAACTATTTTTAGTGAATAGAATTTTCTATCAATTAGTATTTAATTTCTGCATTTCTCCGTTATATTTGCGACTTCTTTTTATTAGTTTTTCAATTATTTACTTCAAGGATAAAAGAAATATACATTATACTATGGGAATTTTAAACATATAAAACCACCCCCCCCCCCCCCCCTCATCCTTTAAGGCAAAAATAATGCTTTGTTTTTGTGCTACAGCTTCGTGAAACATAATTAGACCTAAGTAAAATTGTGCGTGGCTGATTTCTGAGATTTGTTACAGCAATGTGATCTTCATGATTTAATTTCAAAAGCGTCATTGGTATTCTTAACACTGCCCAGAACGTGGTTAATGCGTTAACCATGCTTACGTGTTGTATATACCGCAGTTCTGTTATTTCCCATAATGATGTAAATGCAAGTTTTGTTCGCGCAAGTTTGACCTGAAAATGTAAAGATATTGTTAATGTCTGACCACGTTAAACTCGCAAAGAACACGATTTTGATATTATTTGCTAGATATTAGCTAACCGGAAGGGTGATTAGATGAAAATGAATCGATCGAAGAAATCTACTTCAAAACGAAACAGAATTTATAATTATAATAACTACTGTATGTAAGCATGATGATGTTTTTCTAAAAAAAGATGTTTAGTGTAGTCGTAGAGTGGGATGGTTTGGGTAGTTAGAAACTTAGTATTTATATAGAAACTTTGCTTCCAAATCCCCCACCCACTTCTATAAACAAATATAAAAAGACAGAATTTGTGTATGTGACCGTCAATTAACGGTTTCATCAAGGAAAGGTCTACAGTTTTTAAAATAACTGAGATAACTAATCCAAACGACTTCAATGGTTTTAAATAAAATACATGGTAGTAGGAATGTTTCAACTTACACTTCTCCGAGAGATTTTTATATTATCGTCGCTGGCAATGTGTGTAGTGTTTGGTTTACTTGCTGAAAATACGATGCCTGGACCAGCAAACTTCTGTAGCTCTCTGTAATATAACTAATAGTACATATCTATATTAACGTACTACGCAGGGTAATGAAGAACTTTTTTGAGGTAATACTTAGACATAATTGGTTCTACGTTTGCGAGTTGAAAATGAAAAAAAAAAAATCAGACGAGTGTTATCGTTGAATCGATAAACACATAAGGGATATAAATAATCTGTTAATGTTGTTTAGTTTTAAATTATATATATATATATATATATATATATAATT